CTCCCCCGCCAAAGCCGCAATTCGATCCCTCGCCGACGGCCTCCGCTCCGAAGTCCAGCTTTACAACGCGGCGCGGCGCTCCAAGACGAGTAGCACCGGTGTTGTACCCGCACCTTTCGACGTCGATATCCACGTTGTCTTCCCAGGCAGCATACTATCCCCCGGGTTCGAGAACGAGAACAAGACGAAACATCCCGTGAGCTTTGAGCTAGAGTCGTCCGATCCCAAGCAGACTGAGCTGGAAGCTGCGACAGCGGCGGTCAAGGGACTGGAGGGTGGCGATTTCATGACTCCTACAAACTGGCTGGTGCATTTGATGCGGTATGGCTCCATGTCCGGTAGCCAGAGGAACAACGTGGTTCTCGATACTATCGGAGCATGGATTGCGACAATCATCTGGTTGGTCATGGTGCCGGATCTGAATGGCAAAGTCTGGGCTTGGGGCAAGAAGAACGGTATGAGCGTGTTCAGGCCGAATGCGCAGTAGATGAGGCTTTGTATTGTGAATGGCATAGGCGTATACCCCAGGTGACATTATACTATCCAATTGAAATGTTAGATTCGCGATCAGCCAAGAACCCCCAGGACTCTCCAGAAGTGGAATCCATCCAATCCGCTCGTGGAATGATGTCTGGCATGTTGTACCCAGGCTGATAAGATCGCAGTACATGTGCCGGTACACATTCATACTGGCCCTTGACAAAGCAGTGCCATGGATGTGGAGTCTTGAACTCTAGTGCGTGTGCATAGCCAGGTTCAACATCTTCTATATCCTCGAGATCTACCGGGACGCCAGTGACCAGAACGTCTAAGCTAGGACACCAACCACGCGCATCGAGGTATTGGAAGAAATTGCTGGCAAATACCTCTGGTTGGAGTTCGTACTCTTCCCCGTATGTGTCGCGATGGAAGATGTCGGGATAGTATGTGAATAGAATTGAGCGCAATTGCGTCATCTGCTCGAAACAGTTCTATGATCGTCAGTCATATTGCTCCAGTGCGTGAAAGAACCCTGCTTGCCAGAAACTCTGCATACTCCTCATCTTCGTCTTCTTCATCTTCGTCATCTTCCCCTTCCCATATGGAAGCTTCCATGACATCCTTCGATATTGGTAAGCGAAGATGTTCCACGTTCTGGCATATCGAAAGTAGGCGCGATAATTGATCGTCCCAATCGCCGAAAGGAAACGTAGTGTATCGATTCTGGACGCCGAGACTCTTCAATCCAGGGCCCCTGCGCTCGATCATGCGCCAGAATTTGTCTAGATTGTCCTCCTGATGATCCCAGACGAGATGCAGACTAGTAAGGTTTTCGCAGCAGTAAAGCAAATCTGAGATGGAATCCCTGCCATCAATGGCAACATACACATGCTCCAAAGCAGGGGTTCTGCCGTTGAGGCTAGACACAAACTTGTCGTAAACAGTGGCGTTCTCACAATTGAACAACGCAAGAGTTTTGACGTTACTGAAATCGATGGTGGCTGCCAAGCAGCACCAAATCTCGTCAAACTCGACGTTGTATAACTTCAGGTGGGGCAACTTCAAGAGTCTGCTTTCTGAGTCGGCGGATTCGTGTACATTGTGGTCGTGTCCCTCACCGTCGGCCCGAAAGTTTGTGATATCTATACTCACCCGCTCGAGGCAACGGATCTGTAGATGTCGCAGTTCTCGTTGACTACACTTGAGCAGATGAAAGATGTCTTTTCGGAGACTTCGGCCCATGGCAATGAATCTAAGTTTGCCTAGTGATCAGTCTCTATAGTAACTTATGGTGAGATGAACTAACCTGAAGGCATGAAGCTGATTCTTTGGAAGCATGGAGATCAAAAGATGCATCAGCACGTCTCTTGCATCAGCCGCACTAGCCAGGTGCTCATGGTTCGGCGGTGGTGCATCATCCGCTGGGTCACATAACTCATCTTCGAAAGATAAGCTCCTGATGTGACGCAGGTGCAAACCGGCCCCTGCAGCAATGCATTTGAAGAATTTTCCCAGGCCTTCCTCCCCAGTGCGTAAGTAGACAATATGGTACAGTCGCGGTAAACAGAGGTTGCGCAGGTGTTGCGACGTCAGACAAAGAGATTTAAGGTCGCGTTTCGTATGGATGTACCCGAGTATCAGTAGCTGGACCTCGTTCGAAAGAGACTGCATGACGAGTTGAGATGGTGTGGAGGGGAGAGATCTCGCGAGAAGTCGATATTTGCACGCGACGCGCCTGCTGTTCCGTGTCGTTCGCGTTGCCCCGCTGCTTTAGGAAGCCGCCAGGGGTCCCCAGCACGACATCACGTGAGACAACCGTGCCCCTCATCCGATCACTTCGCACTCCCATTGCGCAACCAATCCTCCATCCCCACTCATCGCAGCATGGACATTCACGCACTCGACATCCGCCTGAAAGCCGAGCTTGTCGAAGATGCCAAGCGCATGATACTGGATCATGTGCGACTTCTGCGCTGAACTGCACAGCGCCAAATAGACGCTCGCTGTTAGCTGATCGCATTTCCCAGCTTTCGCTCTACTCGCATCTGAAAGCGCTTTGCTTAGTTTCGAAGGACTGAAACATTGTCGTTACGGAGTACCAGTACCGAAAGACCGTGCTACAGAACAGTGCATATGCTTGCGACGACCGGCTGCCGAACTGGCTCATCCCAGGCACTGCCACTGTATTCCGGCGATGCCTTGACATCGGCGCACGAAAGCGCTTGGTACACACGCGGAGTCTGTACCTACTAGAGCGCACACGATATGAACCAGGGTCTGGCTCAGCTAACAATTTCGCCTCCGGTAACTAAGCTGTGTCTGTTCATGTGCAAATATCAACCACTACAATACCTGTCCAGCTCATCCAAACTGCGGAATCTTGTTTACTTCGGACTATGGAATAACGACAAGTTAAATAACTCCGTGAACGAAGACGGTAAAGCGCTGGTGACACGGAACCAGATCTTCGGCACTTTTGTCCATAATGTGTCTTTAGACTCAATGACGCAGCGCGCTTTCTAGGAACCGATCGAAAAGCCCGAGAACCTGAATATGCTGCATCTTTGCTAAGGCCGCAACATTTAAGTCCCTATGTTCCTCCTCTATGCCTGAAGTGGATGCTCGCAGAATCTAGCAGCAACTCGCGACACGGTCTTTTTAATGGACACATACACGATGCCCCTCCCTCAAGATGCTCATAATCGCGCCATGTCCGGTGACCCTTCATCATGGGGAGGCATGTCCTGAGCCGAACGCAAGGAACGCAACTCCAGAGTTCTCATACAAAATCGTGAAGAATCCAGCGCAACAGTGTTTCTCAAAGAAGGCTGTGGAGATCGGCAACGGGACCTCACAAATCGAAGCGACAAGACTCACTCAAAATCGACTTCAAACCGACTTTCCAGAACTGTGTATATTTGACTACGATACCGATACTCTGGTAGCAGATCGCCTGGCCTAAGAGGTTATATACCGTGCGATGATTTTGGTTCGAGCCAGGAAGCGAATGAGCCTTGTTCTGGAACCAGATTTTCGCCTCTCAGGCCCCCAGTTTCATACGTGGATTTGAGTATCTACCTCGGCGGATGCAGCTATAGAAGATGCACAGGGGCTCCAGCGTTGACCATCACATGGAATTGAGCCAAGTCAGATTTGCTAGCGTGGAATGCCCTGAACGAAAACACGGCTCGGATGCGTGTCATGTCCAGTCTCCCGGACCTGCGGACTCATGGGACCGGCGCTACTATCGACGATCACGACGATCATCCAGAGAGCCGTCGTCTCATCGCCTCTGTTAGAACATCAATACGACCGAGACAAATGCCGATATCATGGTATTTCCAGAGCTGCATCCAAGTGCGTGAAAAGACTGATTGACGGCTCAGCAGCAAAGTCCAATAGCGGTTCTCCGGAAGCGAGCCGCTGGACCCTTGCCCCAAGACAAAGTGGAGCTGCGAACCGCGGGGACAGGCGGATGCGGAGACTACACAGAAGGGAGCTGCTATCCCGAGGCTAAAATTACGGCATGAAGTCGCCATGCTCATCGCTCATGCCGCCGAAAGGTTAATTCGTACAGACGAGGCATCTCAACCGCGCCGACCGAATCATTCACCTGCACCCATGGTCAAAGGGTACCCCATCGTTTGACCCCACAAGCGCGATATAGATCCACTGTAGATCAACGTGTTTCCAGATGCATCTACGTTGGATAACATCGCTGACTGCCGTTGCTGTATATATGCGAGTAAGCGCGCGTTGATTGCTTGTCTTCAATTGAGAGCGACGCAATAAGTTCTGATTCGATTGCAGATTCGATGCTTACCGGGCATAATGCGAGTATTGCCACGCGAGATCTCTTATGCGCAGCTATATTAGTCGAGCGTTTAGATCGTACCGGCTTGGCTAGCTGAGGCGCAATACTACATACACGAGCCGCACACCGGACGTGAGCCCGCGTGCAGCGTTTCGCTACGGCAGTTTTGCCAGCCTCGCCAACATCAACAACGTGGCAATCACAAGATTCAGGTTCTCGAGATATCTGGATTGTGGCGAAAAGGATAAGCCATACAAGCACCGTTGTCTTGGCGGGCGGTCTACCAGGGCCCCAAGATTATCCGGGTGAATAGGATCCTCACAAAGACGCCAACTCATTTGTGTTTCCCAGCGGCCCGGTACCGACGATGTGTTCTAGTGCGAATTAATTACCTCTTGGGGCTCTACTGCCGTTGTTGAGTGCGGCTTGGATTTCCAGGTACCCTGGGTCTGGAAGACGGTACGCCAGACTAGCAGTACTACCTCTTGCGCTCTGCTAGTATTAGGCCAATCTCAGAGCATGAGTGTTTGCTGCAGGGCGTACCGCGTTGCTAATGACAAAGGCTAGAGCTTCTCCGAGAATGTGCGCTAGGCTATGAAGGGTACTGCGAAGCGTTTGTAGCCATGACTGAGATAAATAGACGGCAAGCCCATGGGTACCTTGTGGACAGTCGATCGACTCTGTATACCCTCCTCCCTTCGTCAACATGGGTCGCTTCTCATTATTCGCTCCTCTCCTGCTGGCGACCAACGGTGTCTTGGGCGCTAAATGGATTGGTGAGGTCAAGAAGGTGGATGGCGTTGACTACCAGTGTAAGTAACATCCGCTCTTAGATCCATTGGAATGTATGCTGATTATTGGACTCCAGGCAAATGCTACTCCGACAACTCCTGCTGGCCAACCAACAAAGACTGGTCGAAGCTCAACCAGACCGTCTCGGGCGCACTGCAGCTCGCCATACCACCAGGCGCTGTTTGCTACACCAACTTCGGAAATGGAACTAGCGTCTACGATGCGGCGAAATGTGCGGACACTCAAGCCAACTGGGCAAATGAGCAATGGCTGTATGAGCAACTGTCTTGGGGAATACAGTCGACGAAGCTAACGCAATGCCAGAACTGATCACCCCGTCGCTGAGCTCTGGCCGTTCAAAACCAACAACACTTGCATGCCGACGGACGACCCGTCGGGTAGTTGCACACAAGGCATGTACGGAAAGTACGTCATCATGGCGACTACAAGGGAACAGATCAAAGCGGGTGTGGACTTTGCTCGAGAGCGCAACCTTCGTTTGATCATCCGTAATACTGGTCACGACTTCATGTAAGGCAACACCCTGGTTTTCGAGCACGGCCGGACTAACAAGCGTACAGGGGCCGTTCGACCGGATACGGTTCACTCATCATCAACACCCACAGCTTCAGAGACGTCAAGTTCCTGAAGAAGTACACTGGACCTGGAGACTGGAAGGGCACAGCAGCTATCGTCGGCGCTGGTGTCCAGGGCCGCGAGCTGTTCCGACAGTGCTTCAACCAGAGTCCCAAGGTAGTCATCGTTGGAGGAGAGTGCCCAACCGTCGGCTGGGGCGGTGGCTACATCCAAGGAGGCGGCCACGGCCCACTAACCGGCATCTACGGTATGGGCGCCGACAACGTCCTCTCCTTCGACGCCATCACCGCCGAGGGTAAATACGTAACCGCCAACGCCAAAGAAAACTCCGACCTCTTCTGGGCTCTCAAGGGCGGCGGCCCCAGCTCTTTCGCCGTCGTCGTCGCCATCACCGTCAAGACCTTCCCTGAGGTCCCCACCGCCGGCACGATCCTCAACATCAACTCAACCCACACCAACGACACCGAGCTGTTTGCCAAGGGCGTCCACATCTTCCACAACCTGGCCAACCACTACAGCTCGCACGGCATGTTCGTCTACTTCGAAGTAGGCCCCGGCCCCCAACGCCTGCACATCGCGCCTTTCGTCGGCCCCAAAATGAACAAAGAACAACTCGAAGCGGTCATGGCACCCCTCTACGAACAGTTGGACGCCGCCGGCGTCCCCTACGACACCCACACCAAAGCCTTCGCCACATTCTTCGAATTCTACATCGACATGTTCGAAGACGAGCCCCCGAACCAGCAATCTATCGTCGGCGGCCGCCTCTTCACACAATCCGACATCACAGCCCACGGCGACGAAATCGCAGATGCGCTCATCTACGCCGCGATGCCTGAACCCACGCAACTCGGCTTCAACGTCGGGCACATTGTTAACCCCGGTCGTGCGTATCCCGTCGTCGACAATGCAATTCACCCGACCTGGCGCAACGCCAGCTCCTTCGTCATCACGAATGTGCTTATGACGGGGACTGAGCCGTGGGAGGTTAAGAAGGAACGCGAGGACTTCAATACCAATGTCCTTGGGAAGAGGTTGAGGGATGTGAGTCCTAATGGGGCGAGTTATGTGAACGAGGGGGATTTGAATGAGCCGAATTGGCAGGAAGCGTACTGGGGCAGTAATTACAAGAGGTTGTTGCAGATTAGGCGGAAGTGGGATCCGGAAGGTGTGTTTTTTACGGAGACGACGCCTGGGACGGAGAATTGGAGTGTGTTGGATTATGGGACGAAACTTTGTAAGAAGTCGTCTAAGTAGACTTAAGCGTTCTTCCCTCTTTTAATAGATCAATTTTCTCCGATACCCATTCTTATCGCTCGACTTGAAAATGCGATGATGCGCACTTGATTGCTTGTCGTTGTGCAAGTGTTGTGTGAGAGGCCCTTGAAACCGCCCCTCATAAGCCGGAAGATGAGAGGTGACACATTAAGATCTACCCAGGCAATGCCTGTCATATAGTAGTGCTTATGAATGATCGCCTTCGGTCGCTTTTACCTGCCGGCAGTGCGCGTACCGTGTGGCCACATCTCAGCCACAGCAGTGGCGCAAGGGCAGTGACAACGCGCTTTGAGATGGAAGACAAAACATTTGCATAGCTGGAGATGCGTCAAAAGCGCGTTTCGGAGTCTCTTACGCGTTCAACAGTGTTTCCTTACCGTTTGGTGCCAACGTGGCGTGGTGAGACAAAGCTGGGGAAGGGCGGGAGCGATGACGAAAGAGTCGCGTCGAGCGCTAGCCGCTCCCAGCTAGCAGCAATCACCATCACAAGCCAATGGGTCTGGCGACGCTGCTATCAGCCATCATCCCAATTGTTTGCGAACCTTCCGCTATCCACCGCCTGTCTGTGTGCCAGCCTCGCCGCTCGCATCACTTCCGCTCCTTGCGTAACCGCCGTAAACACCTCCACCGCTGCGCCAACGCCGTCGCCATCCATCGCATTCCGAACCATCGCACCAGGCTCCTATTCACGACTACAACGCCTCCGACGCCTGCACCTGATCGCGCGACTAATTCGCCCAGGTCACATGCTCTGCGCATGCCGAAATACCCCCAGAGCCTCGTTAATGTCGATTGAATGCCTCCCGTGCTGAATCCCTTCTTACGGGCCTTCTTCCGTAGTGCACTCCCCAGCCAGTGCCAGCCAGCCCAGCACCACGTACGCACCTGCAGATATAGGGGAAGTACATATACTGACGCTGGATTTTATAGGTTCTACTCGTCCCGACCACCGAAGTCCTCCTCACATCGCGCGACAAAGAATCAAACACCTCGTACATCGACCTCAGCGGCTCCGAAGACTTCCTCGCAAGCCATGTGCTGCGCGTCCCGGGCGGAGTGGGGCCGAACAACCATGTCAAGGACTCTGGTAGTTTCAGAGAGACGCGGGGGAAGGCGAAGCAGTTTACCACCGCGAATGGCCGGACGGTGATAGTCAAGGACGCTTTCATCTACAGCAACAAAGGTGCGCAGACATGGTTCGCAGGGGGGAATGACGTCTGGATGCTAATCGAGACGCAGGCTTCAAGACACTCAACCAAGCGCAGCTCTTGAGCGACACCATATTCTACCCCGACTCCTTCGATGCGCAGCCTTGGCTCGTATACTTTATATCGCGACCCCTCATAGGCACCTTCGATGCGAACCCCATAATACCCGCTACACTAGGACCGCGGCAAGATGTGGGACCAGTTGCAGGACCGTCAGGCGCAGCGGGCCCGCCAGGAGGTGCCAGCTCGTCGATGCCGCGGAAGAAGGAGGTCAAGTCGTTCAGCGACCTGTTGAACCATTTCCCCATGATCGCGCGCCAGATGCAACCCGGTCTGGAGAGACTGTTCAGGGAGTTTGGCAAGGAGCTAGAGAAGCCCCTACCAGCGACACCATCACAGAGATCACGGCGCTCGTCCATGAGTTCACGGCGACGCGGATCGGTATCCTCGGCAGAGACAACGCCATTATCCTTGCATAGCAGCATGTCTCACGGCCCGAATGGCTTTGTCTCGAATCTAGAAATCAGCGACGAGGAGGACCAGATGCGGAGATCGCTTGAGACGGCAGTGACAGCGGCCATTGATCTCTTCCAGATGGTGGACAAGCAGCAACTGTCATTACTGGGTGCGACGACCGACTTGACTGGTCCGATTGTGGAGCGCATGATCGAGCGATACATTGCGGAGCAAGTACACCACACCATTCTCTTCCCGCGGATACAAGAGATACGGCTTCTGGAAGATAAGGATCTCGAGCGTCGCACGCGACAGATGGTGGATATCGATATATCGCAAGTCGGAATCGACATTGGCCATGGTCGCAAGGGCAAGCAAGAGCTAGCCATACGGCTGTCCAAGGCTGTTGACATGTTCAAGAAGATGGGTGTCGCAGGCAGTCCGCAAGAGATGTTGGAGATACTCCTAGGAGTACAGAAGCACATCACAATGCCGGATGAATCGCAGGCGAGGACTATGACAAACGGAGAGCCAATGTCGGAGAAGCAAGATCATCTTCTCACTATCAACGCGGACACACTCGTTTCGTTATTGCTCATAGTAGTGATAAGGGCGCCGGTACGGCATCTGCAGGCGCGGCTTTCGTACATGCGGCACTTCATCTTCATCGATGATGTCGAGAGTGGAGAGATGGGCTATGCGCTCAGCACGTTCGAGGCTGTCCTCTCATATCTCACTACAGATTCAGGCGGCCTGCGGAGAGCAAGTCGGCGAAACAGGGCATTGTGGCAGGCCACGAAATCTGGTGACCTTGCGACAATGCAGGGCATACTGGAGCCGGACAGATCGTTCAACGCAGATTTGGACAGCTTCTCAGACGGAAGTCAAACCCCGCCAAGATATCGCCCTGTCAGATTTGCTGCAAGTTTGTCCGATCTGCATTCCGTAGCAGGCACGACCTTGAACGGTGACGATGACTTCTCGTTACGACCGCGAAGTCCATCTCGCGGGAAGAGTGCGCATGAAGATGGACCTTTGGCGCATATCTTCCCCTTTCAGCGCGCTCAAACACCACCACTACCCGGCAGACCGAAGATGAAGAAGAAGGTCTCTATCACGGACACTAGGAGTATGTCGAGTGGCTCGGCACGCTCATATCATTCACGGACTACCCTCGACTCCCGCGTCAGCGCCATCGAAGGCGATGTTTCGATAGAAAAGCTGACCATGACTCAAGGCCCCGATGGCGAGTCAGTACTGATGATGGCGATTGAGAATAGACAGGACAAGGCCCTCCAATACCTGCTCAGTCTTACTGAGTACTACACCCCCTCTCTTGTCTTTGAGGACTACAACAATGAAGGCACCAATTTGTTGAGTGCAGCTATCCAACTGGGCCACGCCAGAACCACGGACACGATCCTTAACTACATTCTGGACAACAGTCCGAGCCCTCAGGCACTGCAAGAATATCTATCAAAACCAGATGCAAAGGGTAGATGCGTAGCGCATTATCTCTTCAATCAGCCCCGACTTATCGACCGCATTGGACATCTTCTTCCTTGGCGGCTGAAGGACAAGAACGGCCAAACACCAGTGTTCGCTTTATGTAGATCGTACGATCATGACGAGTATCACGACATGGTTGACAAGGCACTACTCGCCGCAACGCAAGATCAAGATGATGGACAACCGCTACACCTCGATGAGCACGTCGACAACAAGGGCAACAGTCTGCTTCACATCATCACTGACCCTCAGCTAGCCGCAAAGCTACTGTACCGCTGTGATTCGGACGCCAACGCAACAAACGATCGGCAGTTCACACCACTCATGGTAGCTAGTAAATACGGTCGAACAGATATGGTACGGGTGCTCTTCCAAGACCCAAGAGTAGACCTATCTTATAGGGACGCTCGTGGTCTCACCGCTGTAGAGCTCGCTAAGGACGACGATGTTCGGAACCGTATCGACGACCTGGTGCTCTTGTCGAATGAAGCCGGTCCGGATGGCCGCACAACTACTGTTGTTCGGTCTTTCTTCGTCGAAGACGGAACAGTACGCCTAGTGCTAAAGTCAGGAGCGCCGAACGATAACAAAACGATCACCGTCACGACATGTCGTAGATCATCACAGGACTTCGAAAACCTTGCAAAATGGCTCGCACAAGAACACCCCGCTTCATGGCTACCCGCTATCCAAAATCTAGCATCACCATACCTGATACCCTCTCGACCATCACGATCCATCTTACGCGACATGCAACTCCGGCTCGACGCCTTTCTCAAAATTCTCCTCCGCCACCCCACATTCTCCACCCACGAAATGGTCTGGGAGTTCTTCCTCGTCCCCGACATCGACTCCTCGATGCTCGCCGAGCGCTCCGCCCGCAAAGCCGAACTCCGCGTCGAGCGCCTCCGCGAAGAATACGCGCCCATCTACGACGTGCGCGAAGTCGAACTCTTCGTCCAGCACATGCGCGAAAACGTGCGCGCCCTGCACCACGCCTCGCGCTCCGTCCTGCGTCGCGCAAACAAAGTCCGCTCCGCGTCCTCGGACCTCAACGACGCTGCTAAAATCGCTAACACAGCTCTCCACTCTCTTACCTTCCTGCCCGCCAAACACCTCAAAGCGCTAGACCGGTATACCCAAACGCTAAAACAGAGCGACGCATCCCCCATGTCCGGCTTCTACTACTCCATGCACGCCATCTCCAGCACCATAACCGCCATCCTAACCGCTTTATCCCGCCCCTCCACACTCATCACCTCCATGTCCTCCACCCAGAAAGCGATAGACCGCCATAACCTTTCCGTCCGCCGCTCAGATCGCTGGCCCTTGGGTCTTCTCGACGACGCGAGATCACGCGTGCAGCGCGACGCCCAGGATAAAATGGATAAGAGTAAGGTTGAGCTGGAGGATTTGGGCAGGGAGTTGCGGTATACGCAGCAGGTTGTGGCGCAGGAGTTGGCGAGTTGGCAGGAGGGGAGGGTGGAGATGGGTAGGAGGGCGTTGAGGGATTTGGCGCGCAGGATGTGTGTGACTGAGAGGGCGAGGTTGGAGAGTATGAAGAGGAGTGTTAGGGAGTTGGGGGTTGGGGTATCGCCGAAACCTGCGTCCATCTCCCCCTCTGACCATGCTGGGTTCCCGAACGGATTTCCGAATGGGGGCTTGACGAACGGGTTGCGAGACGCCGGTGGTATGGTCAACGGTATCAACGGTATAAACGCCCCTCATACTCCTCTCCCTATGGATCTTTCCGACCCGCTTTCCGACCCGCTTTCCGGTCAAAGTAGACTGTTGGATGATATTACC